AATGGCCAGAAGTTAAATTTAAAGAGTTTATTAGGATTTAGAGATGATTGATTAAGTTGAATAAATTTTGATATTATGAATTGAAAATCTGTATAGATGTTAATTGTAGAATTTTGAGAGGTAGTTAAGATGGCAGACAGAATAGAGAAAAGTTCAGCCTTGTAAGATAATGGCCAAAGGTGAACTTTGGCAGTGAATTTGTGGATAACTTGGTCATTAAAATCTACTTGAATCTAGCTAATACCTATAGTACAGTTATTTGTACTTATACCAATTACTGAACTATTAGTATAAAAGTTAGATAAATTGTATAGTAGGTTATTAAAAGATATTTGGTTAAGTTTATTAGTTGCTTCACTTGCTTCAAAAATTGCAGATGAAATAGAGTTAGAGATAGAAATAAAAGGCAATGGTAGAGGTAAAGAATTTGGCAAAGGCCATTTAATTGCAGCAGAACTGAAAAGGTTTAAATAGTTTGCATTTATTTTAACTAAATTTGAAATAATTCTATCAAAAAATTAGGCAGATATAATAGGTGAAGTATTAATAGTGCATAATGTAGTTATTCATTGTGAGTTAAGTTGATAGCCTGGACAAAAAACAAGATTAATCTGCTAAAGTGAATAGTAATTAGTATTATTTATATTAATATCTGATTGCCAATATGTGATTGATATTTTGTTAGAATCTGTAAGATGTTTACAGATTTTGCCTATGATGATTTTCTCATTATTAAAAGTAATTAGCCAAGGTTTATGTTTTTTAGAAATATTGTATATATTATATGCAAAGGGGTTAGTTCCTTGCTGTTGATATTGAGGTTTGAGAGAGTGATGATAATGATTTTCTATAATAGAATTTTCAAGTTCAGTAAACCAGATCAGTTTTCTGCCTTTAGGCAAATAAAGAATTCTTGATGATAAGTGTAGTTATTCAAGAAGTGTAGTGTTGTCTGAGGTGCAGAGTTGTTTAAGATAAAGTAAATTTAGTTGTTTAAGTTGTTTTTTAAAGATTGTATATTTAGGGTGATGTTGAAGAATAAGTTTAAGGAATTGAAGCTGATAATAGATAGTGTTTGGCCATGATATATTACTATTAGCTCTAATAGAGACAACAATTTGTGGAAATAGTTGGATAATTTTAAAATTAAGAGTATATTTATTTTGACTATCAACATTAGGTTGAGGATGTTCAGGAATGTTTATAGTAGACCAAAGGTTGTTTTGAAGCTGTTGTAATCTAATACGTATAGAAACATCTAGTAAATAAAGATCACTAATTCATTAAAAGAAGGTAGTAATATGGTATTATAATTGTATATCCCAAATATTATGTATATTGTATAAATAGGGATGAAGTATTGTACTATTAGGAATTGATTGGGCAAGATAAGATTTGTGTTTAGCAACTGTAAAATATTTGGCCAGTATGCGATTATATATAGTTTTGGGAAAAATAATATATATATATATATATATTTTTAACTATAGACAGTCATGCTAATACTTTATTAAGATTCTTGCAATTGCTACAATTATATAGATCTACCTAACAACTAAGTCTAGCATCACCTGGCCACTCTAATGGCACCTAAATACAACCTGTCACATTACTTCAAGCAGAAGTAAACTGCTCATCTGACTACTTAAAGTTTATAATGAAAGGATTTTCCTCCTTTCATAACAAGCTTCAAAATTGTCTTCCTAGCTTCATCTTTAATTCATTTTTTCCTTCCCTTTAATTATTGAGCAAGAGGATTAATAATCTTTGTCTAAAGAACAACAAGATATAAGAAAAAAAAACTAAAAGGAAGTAAAAAAAGAGGGGACTAACTACAAACCCTAAACATAACCAAAAGAAAAAAATAAAAAAGATAAAAAAGATGAATAAAGAAAAAACAAAAAATATAAAAGCACTATTTTTGCTTATGCCAGGCTTTAAAAATTCTGTATAATACTAAATAAAGAATACCCCATATTTACTTTATTTCTGTATTATAATTTATTCTATTTATCATATGAGAAGAATGGTCGAAGTTTTTATTTTTCTTTTGAGTTTAACATATGTCATCTATTGTAGGTCCGATACTTATCTCGTGGTTTTCTTATGACTAACATTACCGATTTGAAAAGGTAAATAATGTCAATCCTTTGGAGAGGGTACACCAGATTTTCTACTTTTTGGTAAAAATTCCAAAAGAAAAATCCAGTAGTTAGGGCAGAAAGAAAAGCCAACTTGAAAAGGAGTTGTAAGAGTTATGTTATATAAAATATTATATTAAACCAAGTAACTATTTAGACCTAAACCTTTATAGTACTTGACAAAGCTTCAGAGCTTATCTACTATTTCTTTGCTTGATAGTATTTGGTTTTACCAAGAAACTTTACTTACAAGGATTCAAATCTTTTTCAGCTCTTTTTAGTTACAACCAAACATATAGTGAATAGCCTTCCTAGTTATCCAAAGTAAAGTTTTGTTATATTTAAATATAATAACTATATAGTATTCGTAGGTCAGACTTATGAAAAAAAGTTGGTATAAGAGATCGTTAGAAAGAGTTATGAAAGAATAATATTATATATTCTGTATTCTAATATTGGAATAATAACTGTATTAATAATGTAAGTAATTTGTTTATTTGTAATGTTTTTTGTATTTGCAGTATTAATTAGTTGAAAAGCTTCATCTTGAATTAATTTGATTGTATAGGTTTGTTTGTTGTTAAGTATAAACTAACAACCTAAGTATTTGAAAGATTAGCTATTAGGAATAGAGTTAATACAGTACCGGACAACAAAAAATATCCACTTTTTTATAGAGATGCCAAATTTAATTCAAGGCCAGACAGCAAAAAACATCTAATTTTTTTTATAAAGGCACCAAATTTATTTATAGTAATACAATTAATGATTGTGTAATTACCTCTTGCGTAATAAACCTAGCTCATATTTCACATATCACAAAACAATAGAATTAACTTTTGGTAACGTTCTCACAAAAAATTGTTTATTTTCTATAATTTTATCTTTTACCAAGAATAAAACTGCACTAGTTAGATTAGGTTAGGGTTAGAAAGAACTTAGACCTTATAGTAAAATTTCACAAAGAGCATTTTTAATTAACTGCAAAAGGTGATTTCTTAATTAAAATTTTTTTGCTTCGATTGTTTACATTACACCTAATCTTGAAATTTGACTCTCTGTGCACTATACTAGAGATTGTACCTGTGAAGAAATAGTCCTTTAATTCAAACAATTATATGTAAATTCAAGCACTTGATAATGACCTCCTCGAATTTTCTACTCAGGTAATATTAAATTACTCTAGTAATTTATTATAATTATATAATAGATTTGTTTATCTGGATCAATCTTTACACTGTACTCTGCAATGGTTTTAGGAGCAAAATTTTGATTTATACTGGGTACCTAAGTATGATACTATCATACTTCTGTATCCAGGAAAAATATAATAAAACATATTTATTTATACAGTATTTTTATCAAAATACATTTACTGATCACTGATATTAAAAATTTATTTTGCACAAGGTTATTAGCACTTCATGCATGGGTATATCACATTCGGAATTAAAGATTATCTCATATGAGAAAAGCCTTGTATACATTTGTGCACTTTACATAAACCATGTAATAAATTTTAAATTAGTTTATTATGTCATACAATATATATTATTTTATGCAACCCTGCATGATATTGCAGTTTGAGATAAAACCGTACTCATTTCTACTCAAGATAAGTTCTGATTATTTAGCAAAAATCTATCATTTTTAATGCTTAATATGAGAGATTGAAATTTTTAATCAGATTAGATTTTAAAAACTTCCAAAATCCCTACTATTAGATTGATTTATTTTATTTAAAACAATACTAGTCAACTTATATATGGTATAATGGCGGGGAACTAAAATATCTAGTATTCATAAGTTATAATTTTTAAATAAAAAAAACAAAAAAAAAGAAAAAAAAAAATAACAAAAAAAAAAAACAAAGATAAAAAAAAATAAAAGAAACAATAAAAAATAAAAAATAAAAAGCCTTACAATCCGTATAGACAACAATAAATAAAGCTAACTCCTTTTACTTTAAAAACATTAATTTGATTCATAACCTCCTCGTTAATCGATCTATGCTTTCTATTATTTCTGACAGCATATTCTGCCATTTTTTCTGTCAATCCATGCCGATAAGCATCCATCCATCTATAAGATAGCCTAGTGAAAGAATGGATTTTTTCTACAGAAATGGAAGTAAAAGCCTGATAAATTAATTCTTTAGTTTTTGGAAGTAAATATTCACAATAGGACCGAGTGTACTTCTTAGCCATCTCTAAGTACATTTCTATGTAGTTAAATTCAGAGTGAAACTTAGAATAGAATAAAACCTTAAGACCACAAGATTTGATTTCTTGCTGAATTTGGCCACGTTGTTCAAGAAAATCTGGCTGATTTGAAATTAACCGATGTGCACAGCAATCAATAACATCTGGAATTGGCTCTTTTTTTTTTACATGAAGCATATTCGAGCACCATTCCATCTTTCCATAACCCTCTTTCACTAAGAACCTATTGGATACCTTTAGGTTGCCCATGCAGATTAACATATGTCTTTTTTTTTTTATCATAAATCAAATGATCATTCTCAATAATCATTGATTGATGATCACCATTCCACGTTGTATCATGCATTTTTGAAACTAATCCACCCAGTCCAAGGTTTATTTTTGAAGTCACAAGAGCGTCTTCAGAAAAAGCTTTATGAGAAGTGGCATTATCAAAGAGAAATATACCAACATACCTCCATTCAAAAATGCTAACTGTCTTTCTAACTTGCTTGAAAAGTTTTTTGGAATCCCAATAACTATCTCGATTTGCATCCAAAACCTATATATTAAAAAAAAAAAATAAAACTAAAATAAAATCAAACTAAAAAAATAAATGAATTAAAAAAAATTAAAATTACATTATCTTTTTTTTAATTTTTTTTTTAATTTTAATTTTAATTTTTTTTTTATTTTTAATTTTTTTTTATTTTAATTTTAATTTTTCTTTAATTTTTTAAAAATATTCTTAAAAAGTAAAATTCTCTGACCATCATTACATGTGCTTCTTCTTGGTCGTCTTTAAGTGACCCAATAGTTTCTGTCAAAAAATCACTTATGTGGATAGCAGAACCTAATCCTTTTTTTTGTAGTGGCTGCTCTTTTTTCGGGCCCCATACAGAATGTGGACTATCATAGGTATAGAAGGTAGTTTCATCGTGGGTTATCCAAACGTGCTCCTTTTCACTACTTTCCAAATCTGGGTAGGTTCTTATCCTACATTCTGGATTAACCCACTTAGACATAAGTTGTTCAAGCTGAACAACCTCTTGAAAAAATGTTTGACGATATTCGACAATGTCAAGATGTTCATGTCCATTGATATATACACCTTTTTTGTAACGCTGGTAACGGAATCCAAGTTTGTGCATCCATCTCTGGACAGTATGAACTGAAATGCATTGCACAGACTTAATGTTCAAATGAGGAAGAATGGTTTGTTCAAAATAGTCCTTAACCATAATGAGATCTACGTTAAACTTCTGGGAATGTAGATAAGTGGCCAACTTGAGGGAAACTAACTTGTCATGAAGCAAGCTTTTTGAGGGGGATCTTTCTTGAAGGTCTGGTTAGATTAATTTATTTTTCATACAGATATTCACTCATTTTCTTACACACTTAGCAAGCCATGGCCCATCATCAATCACATCAGAAACTGCTTTAGCTGCATTCATTTTTTTTTGACCTTTTAGAAACAATCTATAGAAGTAGATCACCGCTGTGTAATGTGCCTCTTCGGTTTTGAAAAGTGTTTCTTCTCTCATTACATTGTCGATAAACTCAATTGCACTATGGATTTTTTTTGTTTCTTCATCTAATTCTTCACTCAAGTTTCCATCCAATTCTTTATTCAAGTTTTCCTCATTCTATTAATTAACATAAATACCCTTATGCCAAATACTAATTTTTCTCAATATAGCTTTCTTACCTGATATTCTTGACTTTGAAAGTCCTCAGCATCTTCTTCATGATCAGTAATCGAAAGTTGATTGTTAAAAAAATGTGAAATTTTTAAACTTCCTTTTGCTGCTTCTTTAAATGCTTTATTTTTTCTTTGTTATGTTCATTTAGAATTTTCAATATACATATAAGGATACTTTTTTTTTTGATACCTGCTACCAAAGCAGCAAAAAGTCACTCGATGATTGAATTCGCTTGGTCATAGTCATTTAGCTCAAAATTCTCATTCGAACTTTCATCAGAATTACTACTAGAATCAATATACTCTTTGCTTGAATCAAGGTCAACATAATTTGCAAGTGCAGAACGAGCTACCTCAGCTCTTTCTTTCTGTAGTTTTTTAATATTTGCAAGTTTGGGCATTGTAATAAGAGATAATTATAGAGTTTTACAAAATTTTTTTTTTGTTCGGTTTCTCATTTTTACATTGCGCTTTTATTGTATCAGAGTTCATGAGAAAACAACTGATAATCTAAAGTCTATGGTGAGTAACAATTACTATGAAACAGAACTAGGATCAATATTTCGTATTCATTATTCAAAATCAACTGGTATGTAAAATGAAAGATCCAACTTTTTCTTACAATTGCTTGCCTATTTTATATAGGACCAATTCGTTTGATTTACTTGACAATAGGAAAATTATAATTTTCAAATATATTAAGTTACGCCTTTACCTTCTGTGTAACATCATATGGACAAAATAATACTAGTACATACGCACGTATATACATACATGCTGGTTTCTTTAACCTCATACAATAGAAGCTATGTAAGTATGTACATACATGCATATCAGTATGTTTGCTTGATTTTTCTTTTTGAATAAGAGGCTAACCTTTATTATATTTTCTTTATATACCCCTGTTGTTGTTATCAAACTTGATTTAACTTCATTACTGTATCATTATTTTTATTACGCACATGATCATAATCATTAATAAATGTATTGTTGGTCGATTGATTATAAGTGTATCACCTATGCTATAAGAGATCCTATGATAGTAATTCATATGTATAATCATTGTACACTTTATTTTGCATAGTTTCTTCTATGTAATGTAACAAATATCTTGCATATTTTTTTATGCACTAGGATTGTGTTATGAAAGTTAATACATATGTTTAATTTGGTTAATATATACCACTTATCATTATGATTTATGTTAACATTAGCTAATAAAATTTTACGCACATGATCAAAAATCGATTTGATTGGCTGATTTAGGTTGTGCCAAATTTCTGCCTTACTATAAAAGTTAGCAAACTTTAATCCATTATAACTTTTTTAAAACATGAAATTTTAAAAATCTGTTTTACAGATTTATAGTTTAGATTATACTTTATAAATTTGTAAAAGGATTTTTTAATATAACAATTTGTTATTAAGTTATTAAGCTTTAAATAAACTCAAATAAAGTGGATATTTCTTACTATCCGATACTGTAGTAAAGTTAAGAAAGGTAATAAAAGTAGGTTTGGTGTTTGTGGCAAATATTGACTTGGTAGGATTAATCTAAAGGTTAGCTATTTGGTAGAAAGATGCTGCCATTTGAGTAATTTGTTCTAACTTATTTTTGGATTAGACAATCTATAATATGCTATTCATATAAGCAAGAACTGAGATAGAAACTTAAAGATGTTGGTGTCAAGGAGGTTGTAGACTGGTTTTCCATAATGTTGAAAGAGTATACTCTGTAAATTGAAATGTGATTCTGTGGATAAGAGGGTCATAATAAATATGCCAAAATAATGATATAATTGTTTTTCTTAATCAATTCCATTTTTGACAAAATATAAATTTGTATATCCAAAATTAGTTATAATTTAGTTGTAGTAGTCATTAAGCAAATTAGTAAGAACTTCTACTAATTTATATGGCATGTTGATTCATATTAAAGATTTGTAAAAGAAGTCAGAGTTTACTGAATTATAGGCTTTGCTCATATCTTAAGATATAAGCCAAAGTTCTTTAGAATTGCAAGAAGCTTCTTTAATTATATTGTTAAGTATATGGATTGGTATTGCTGTACTGTTAGCAGAAAAAGCAATATAGTTATAAGAAGATAGTATTGAATATGAAGTAAAAGTAGGGTTTAAGCAGTTGGTAAAAAGTTTGGTGTATAATTTTTTAATATGTTCTAAAAGACTACATTAGCAAAATTATAGATGCAAAATATTTCAAAAGATTTTGCATGACACAATAATTTCGAAATATTGCAAAATAAATTTCGAAATTTTTGCACTATGCAAAATCTTTTAAAATATTATGAAATATATTTCAAAATTTTTATGCAGTGCAATAATATTAAAAAAATTGTAAAATATATTTCGAAATTTTTGTGCTATGCAAATATTTTGAAATATTGCAAAATATTCTAAATATATTTTTGCAAAAACTTTTGAAATGTTCAATGAAATTTTATAAACTTAGCAAAATGCAAAGTATTTCAAAATATATCAATATAAAATTTAAAAACA